GCAGGATGAAAGCTGAAGTGTTTGGGGCTACATTATCTGCTCAGATTCAACCAAATGCTTCAAAACTCATTGGACGATGCTTCACAATGCAGTTGGACAATGACCTGAAGCATATTGCAAAAGCAACCAAAGACATTTTTAAGGCAAAGAAGTGGAATGTTCTGCAATGGCCAAGTCATATCATCTGACCTGAATCCAAATGAGCATGCGTTTCTCTTGCTGAAGCCAAAACTGAGGGCAAAACACCCAAAACACAAGCAGGAAGTGCAGACGGCTACAGTAAAGGGCTGGCAGAGCATCACCAGGGAAGAAACCCAGCATCTGGTGATGCCTATGTGTCCAACACTTCAGGCAGTCATTGACTGTAAAGGATTTGCAACCAAGTATTAAAACTGACTGTTTAATTGATGATTATGTTAGTTTGTCCAAATACTTATGAGCCCTTAAAGTCGGGGGACTGTGTGAAGAAATGGTTGTAATTCCTACACAGTTCATACTACATTTTTGAAAAAAGCCTTAAATGAAAGCTGAGAGTCTGCACTTTAAGCAGGTATTCATTGTTTCATTTAAAACCCATTGTGGTGGTGTACAGAGCCAAAATGATGACAACTGTATCATTGTCCAAATAATTATGGACCTGACTGTACCTCAGCTGTAGTTTTATTGTGGGCAGACATTGCTGTAGTAAAGGTCAGGTTTTAGCATCCCAATAGAGGTTTATTACACAAAATGAGTGACAACGGCTCAGTGAGTCACCTCCCCTAAATGGAAGTTAAGCACTGACTCACAAAAGTAGGTGGCGAAAACAAAAAAAAACTCCATCATACACAACCATACAAACTCCGGCCCCTTCACAAATCAAGGGACACAAGATTATGTAAGCATAAAAGGAACTTAAAATCAGCTTAACAGCACTAAAACACAGGAAGTACCACAAGAGCAATGTTCTGTACCTCTCCCATGGAGCAAAACAGCAAAAGGGAGGAGGCAAGGCGGAAGAAACCACTTTATAGGTGGGGTACCCCCAAAGGTGAACGTAGGGTACAAAAACTGGTTATCAAACGTTCCACATATTGTGCACAGAGGTCTAAGCGTGTCAGGTAATAACAACTGAACCAAAAAATTTTAAAGATATTTTTTAGGGCATTTTTGCCTTGAATTGATAGATAGTGAACCATGAAAGAGGGAGAGAGGGGGAGAGGCATGCAGCAAAAGGCCACAGACTGGAATCAAACCCAGGCTGCTGTGGCAACAGCCTTGTACATGGGGCGCCTGCTTTATCCACTAAGCCACCGACGCCCCACAACTGAACCAAATTTTTTGGAATTATAATACTCAACATTCATTAGACTTGTCACACATATTACTGCGGTATAACTGAACCTGTTAGATAAGTAGAGTAAGCACAGAACTTTATCCACCTCAGTCACTTTTATATCATCCAACCAGCAGGTGTCTGGGTATTTGGATCTGACAGTATCTTGTCTTGTTGGTTGTCCATTGACAGCAGAGCTCTTTAAAGTAACAGAGTATTACACATATTTTAATATCATTATTTAATCACTGTGTGTGCCACAAACTAATCCCAATCAGTTTAGACTTTTTATGCTCAAGTTCCTGGAGGAAGTGTGATAACGAGGGGGCCTGTGAAGTGTTTTGCCAACGTTTTTTTAACGTCTCCTCACTGTTTACTTAATATGTATCCACTGCATAATAGATAAATGGCTGTCATCAGTTATATTGTTAACTGTTATTTTCTGAAGATGGAGGACCGTGTTGGCACAAGCAGGACACAGCTGCTGTCCACAGCGAAGGGCCATAACCTAAAGGGATGTTCATTCACCCTATTTTCTCAGCTTTCTTTTTGGGACCGTACAATTTACTTTGTGTCACTGGGTATAAAGATGGACCACGTGTCTCCTCTTCCTCCTACTATACAAAGATGAAGCCAAAATATCCTGGCTAGGGGGACTTGCATCCTGCGCTGGTGACGTCATTTGGAGCCAGTCTGCACAGTAGTGATTGGGAAGAGGAGCTGCGGTATCTAGTTTCCACTCATACAAAATAACACTGGATCATACAGCAGCATGATAAGACCTAACTAAAATGACAGAAACCATCTTTGGGAAAAATTAACTTAAGGTGTAGGCTACTTTGATTTTTTTTGTGTGGCCCATTTCCCGCTATCACCAGGGGGACGGGGTTTCTGGCCTATATTGCCTGCCTAGTGGCAGCCAGCCACTAGGGGGAGCTCTCACGTCCATCTTTATACACAGTAAAGGATTTTGCCCAAGATGTGCTCAAGAAAAGAAATAAAGCGAACTTGTTGAGCAGCGTAAATACCCATTTTTTGCCCCTATCTTTACACAGCTTCTTAAAAACAAATTTCTTGTGATTATTTGTGTTTTCTCCTTTTTTCCCCCACAGTTACTCCCATAATTACAAAGTTTCTTTGGACAAAACAACCAAAACTCTGTCATTAAGTTTTATAAAATCTATAAGCAGAGAATTGTAGAAATTGTAGTGTTTTGCTGAGGGATGTAAAGTGCATTTTCTTTATCAAAAATTACAATCTGAAGTACAACATTTCAAAAATGAACAAAAAATCTGTCAGCAAGTTGGTGATATAATAGCCTTTAAACAAATGATCAATGTGACAAAGTGAGTCAGACTGAGAGAGATGTATATCGGTTACAAACAAAACCTATTTATGTCAGCTCAAACTTTGACTGGTGTTAGAGGTAATGAGGTTAATGTCCTGTAACACAATATCTGATGGACATTGGCCTACTGAGACAAGCATTTGTTATTCAGGTTCTGACGTGAAACACACAGGTGTATAACTCACCTGTAACATTAAAACGCAACAGCTTTATTTAAGAATTAGAATCTGATGGTTTTTCACTGCAGTAAAGGTTTTTGTTTCCCCTCTGTAGCATTCAGTTTTGCTCTCATTTCAATGTGACAAATCATCCAAAACTGGGAAGTCAGAGCAAAGACACTTACAAATAAACTATATATATATTTACATTGCTGGATGTAACACAAAAAAGCCAAACAAAGAGACTGTAGATGTAACAGAAATAACTGAAGAACTCCTTCCCTCACTTATCAGAATTTAAAACATACCCTACAACCTAAATACATTTATTTGTATTCATAATGACTTCATGTGGCATCTCATTTAGACACCAATGAAGACTTCAACAATCAATAATGAACAGATTTACATTACCTTGTAATGACTCCTTCCTGAAGTGATGATCCTACAAATCGGAGTCTCGAGTCACCTCTTACACACTTCTCAAGACCAAATAAGCCACATCTGCGCACAAATATGTGTGTGAATGTTTCCAAAGTCCAAAGTCTGCTTCATTTGTGAGGGTGCTTGAGATAGAACGAAGGAATGTGAAAGAGGTGGTGGGTATTTGGTCAGAATTTTATTACATCTTTGTTTGTCTTATCTCAAGGTCTTCCCTTGCTCTCGCTCTCTCTCTCTCTCTCTCTCTCTCTCTCTCTCTCTCTCTCTCTCTTACACCCACACACACACACGCACACTTGACATTTGATGTGACATGTTAGTGTGACCTAGGAAGGCAGGAAGAGGAGTAAAAAAAGGGGGCAGTTAAGATAAGTTTCTGCTGCATCTGTGTTGGTCATCTCGTGATTCAAATAAAACTTTTAACGCTAGGCTACAAACACACTGAAGTGGGAGGTTAATTTGTACAAGTGTCGGTTCAACAGCTTTCTCACTGTTGGACTTGAAGATTGAGTCAATGTACGTTTTGATTTCATTGATGAGTAACAAAAATAAAGGTTAATAATTAATATATTTAGATTAAACCACCAGTATGGTTTGTCATTAGCATAAGCGTGGACTTCAATGACATAACTTGGACTCGAGTCAAACAAGAAAGACTTGCAGCCCGACTTGGACTTTAACACCAATGACTCGTGATTTCACTTGAACTTGAGCATTTTGAAATCAAAATACTTGACACCTTTCCCCATGCAAAGATTAGAAAGTATGGCATTTAAAGTAGTTTTTAAGTGTTTTCATTTAGACATAAAACATAAAGTGTGCAACAACATACAATATCACTTTCAAGGAAGACTAGTTGAACAGAAAATATTTTGCAAATTTGGGAAGAGAAAATCTATGGACATTTTTTCCAGTATAAAATGAGTTTACAAGAAGTCAGGACAGACACACAAAATTCATTCTGTTGTAGTACTGATAGTGGTAGGCCTATATGAAAGTGCAATGTCAGCCCTACTTTTATTTTTATTAGCCAGTTGTTTTAACAAATGTGTTTTAAACAAAAAAAATCGAATTTTGAAAAGCGTTCATGATATTTGTAAATTTTAATATATTATTTAGGCTACCTGTTATTAAAATGGCACAACATCTGGTGGTGAAGAGCACATTGCGACTTATTTAAGACTTGAAACTCAAAGTTTATGATGTGGTACAAGAGTCGGGACTTGTTAGTCTTGACTTGGAACTTGAATCAGCACTTGCCTGTCCTGTCTTTGGACTGGACTTGGGAAGACTTCAGACTTGAAAACAATGACTCGGACCTGCACTTTTGGTAACAACTTTAGTTCCTACATTCCCTATTGCCAAATGCTCTGTGTGAAACAAAAGATGAACGTAATAAATTCAGTCTTCTACCTTTATATTTATTTACAATGCAATTTATTGGTCGAAAAATTAACACTCAGGTTCACAGATGGAGGAAAATGCCCATATAATAACCATTTACTATGTTAACAACAGGTGTCCCTCGCTGTTGATTGACATATTAATCAGTATTTTTTCGACAAACTACATCAGGGAATATTTGCATTACTATCTACACAGAACATTAACATCACTATTAACATACTTACCAAAGTCTATTCGTGTTTCTGGTTCACTTTCCTGGCTCTACTGCTGCCACCCTGGCGGAACTATTGTGAAGTGACACAGGACTAGAGGACTCCGGAAGTATTGAGTGATGAACATCAGCGACTTCCGGTTAGAGTTGTTTTGAATTTTTTTGAAAGCTGGAGCGATAGCCTGGCAGGTAAGTATATTATCTTCAATAACGCAACAAATAGCGGGTAAAATACCACATTTTTGTCGCTATCTTTTACATTTAAGAGTTTGTTTGTTAACAAAAAACAGGACGACTTAATATCGTACGTTAGCGATGTGTTAACGTTGCGTTAACTGAACGTTACCGTGTCCCTCCACCACTACTTAGTCATTTAAAATTGCGTTTGTATCGACACATACACTCTGGCTCCCCTTTTTCTAGAAAACCAGGGCTTTATTGTTTTTTATTTTAGCGTTAAAACCTCTGGGCTACACACAGGGTCGCTAACTGTCACCGTGTTTGTCGTTGTCCCCTTGTGACAGACATGTCCACGCTGTTCCCCTCTCTCTTCCCCCGGATAACGGAGTCCCTCTGGTTCAACCTTGACCGACCCTGTGTGGACGAGACGGAGCTGCATCAGCAGGAGCAGCAGCACCAAACATGGGTAAACACCTCAGCTGAGACACAGGGTCTTTCTCCCTCTCCCCATGCTAACATCTTAACATGTGCTCTCTGTCTATCTCTACCACAGCTGCAGAGCATTGCTGAGAAAGACAACAACCTGATGCCCATTGGGAAACCTATTTTTGACGTAATGTGTCCTTTAGATCTATTCAACAGATGCATTTGAAATGAAAATGCTGCTCTTGATTTTCACCATGCCACACTATGACACATGTACTAGTAACATGGTTCCTTCATATATGTCATCTGGCTTTACTGTGGCGCAGGGGGCATATGAGGAAGAGGAAGAGGAGGATGACGAGGATGAGGAGGACAGTGAGGAAGATTCAGAAGATGAAGAGGACATGCAGGACATGGATGAGATGAATGACTACAATGAGTCACCTGATGATGGCGAGATTAATGAGGTGCTTTGAATTATGATGAAGTATTTTCCCTGCCCTGCAGTCAGTATAGCGTTAAATGACTGAGGGCAACTAGTGTATCATTTTCACATGGCTCGACACTGTTAAGAAAAAAAGAATTTGTTTAAATATACGTAACTTAATGGACCAGTGTGCAGGATTTAGGGGGATATAACAAGTATGTTGTCTTAAGGGTATAATCACCTGAAAATAAGAATTGCTGTGTTTTCGTTACCTGAGAAGGAGTTGTTTATATCTACATAGGGAGTGGATCCTCGTCCACAGAGTTCACCGTGTTGCACAGCCATATTTCTCCAATAGTCCAAAACAGACTAACCAAATGTTGGGTCTCGATAGGGTCATTTGCGTTTTTGTGTCGCCCACCATAGTAAGTAGCCCCTCTGCAACAAGCAGTGTCAGAAACACATTTTTTTTTTTTTTACGTGAAACTGCTTTATTTGGTGTTTTTATTGGTTTAAATTACCGTGTCATTTGTGTAGGAGAGGAGGTAACCTCTGGATAATCCGGATTTTGGTAAAAACCTCCTGATCGTCTTGATCTTAAGTTATCAGAGAAAAGAGGTGAGCACATAATAAAGTATGTCACACTTTATTCGGTGTGTTTACTGGTAGCCAAAAATGTGAGGTTTCTACACTCAGGCTTTCACCTCACTATCTGCATCGCCAATTTCCCGTCTCCAAAATGTTCGTAGGCATGGGTCAAAGTTTCTCCCATCAAGTCTGCTTTCATAGATCACAGCTTTTGTGTGGGAAGTGGCATACACCTCTTTCAGGCCTTGTTTTGTGCATACGCAATGTTTATAAATGAAACCTCTGGTTCATTTATTATGGAGAGGAAGAGACCTCTGCAGATTTTGGCTCCTTGTAAAAATCTCTAGAGCAGTAAACACTGAAGGGATCCTAAGTGGAAGTTCAGGCTTGGCACATGGGAGAATTTTCAGATGGGTGCAATCTGCAGTCCTCACCGCTTGTTGTCACTAAATTCTACACACTGCTCCTTTAATTGATATTTTTGAATTAAAGGCACAATGAATAAATCTCTAAAATACACTGAAAAATACTCTAAATTACATAAAATTGTTGTTCCCTTTTTAGCTTCCTTTCTTCTCCCCAAAAAGTGAAAACATAGCCTTTAATCTAGCTCTGTTTCTTTCTGTCAGGTGGACATGGAGGGACCCGATCAAGACCAAGACCAATGGATGATTTAAGACAAAAGACAATTTTAGTCTCCATCAAGCTGTCTGGCACTGAATTTTTACTCCCCACATAAAACACGACTGCTGTTCCTTCAATCTGTGACACAGATATATTTTTTATTTGTGTATACAGAAAAAGTAGTCACGAGCTTACATCGTGATGTCCTCCAGCAGGAGGTTGGGTGAGTCCAACACAAAGTGTCTCATTTTAAGTTGCAGTTGGCCTTTGAAGGCCCAGGACGTAGTTGTAAAATGCTGTGAGCGTTGCCACCTAGCACACACACACACACACACACACCCATTCACTCACACACAAGGTCCTGCTGTTTTGTAACCAGTCGGGCACACACCCACACGGTGACAACAGTAGCCATCAGCCCAGTGATCTTTCATTTAAACTTTGACCTTGTCATATCTCAATCATGTGCCACTTCTCAGAAAGCCTCCAAACAGCTGACTGAGCACCAACAACAGTTCAGTCAGCTAAATAATTTGTTACCTATTAAGGAGACTAACAAATATCATATAGTGCAATTCTGTTTCAGAGTGTCGTGTTAGCTGCTAATCTTTTGTTACGGATTTCACATTTGTGGTGAAATCTTCATAAATGCTTGCGAAATAATTCAGACAAATCATCAGTTGTTATTTAAATAAAAGATGATATTTTTTATTTTTCAACTCTGTCAAAGGTAAAAGCAGCCATTACTGTTGATGACTGTCAGTTGAAATACATAAAACAGTGTCCATCCAGATACTCACATATTTATCTAAAAGGATTGCTTGCCAAGCCTTTGCTTATTTGTACTCAAACGAACAGAGGCCTTGACGTTTTGTATTAAATTAAATAATTTTGATGAAACTGTGTTTTTCTGTTGTCTACATTTTAGTATCTTATTGATTGAAAAAACACACTCACAAAATGTAACATGGAAGTAAGGGGTGTGTGTTGGGATACACCCAGTACTGATAAAGAGATCTGTGAATTTGGTGGTAATAAAATTTGTGATTGGGGTGGTACTGATGTCCACAGTTCACTTTATGCCATTAAACATTTGATATCTGGAAAGATTTGAACAGGTAATGTTAACATTTCCCAGCTAAAGGCCAATATTTTCTTCAGTATTGAACTTGTACATAAAGGATATTTATAATAAACTAATAAAAAAATACACATCATTAAGTTTAATTTGCATATTTAATGAATTGATCCTCTTTTTTCTCAAAATTTGTGATATTTTTTGAAGACTTTTTCCTGCTTTTAAAAGACAGGTGGGAGAGGATAATGACAGGGATCCCCAACAGGAATAAAAAGGTAGATAATATTTCCATATGAAGACAAGTGTTGTGCACATAGGGTTGCAATTTTCAGGTGAATGCAGCTTTTCAGGGAATTATTTAAACTGTTTTTCATCACATTTTCTTTCAGATTAGTTTTTACATAAGGTTTACTATCATCAGTTCATCCCTCGCTACTCCAAAAATGTGTATCTGTCTAACAGTGTAGTCTATTTGATTCCCTGGTACAACAGCTCAGCCATCCCGTCCCTGATGCCTTTGCTGTACTCAAGTGTGGCCCGATGGACCTTCCACTCGTACAGGCCACTCTTGCGAATATGTCTGAGGAACTTTGGAGCCCCGGGGAACAGCACGTTGTCTGCAACGATCATAGACCCTTTTCCCAGCAGACCAGAGCCCTCCAGCATCTGTAACACACACACACACACACACACACACACACACACACAGTATCATGTAGCTGAAGGAGTTGACCAGGTAACAATGGGGAGGATCCCAACTAAAAGATATTAATTTAAGAACAATTTCAGTTGCATTTATATTATTAACACACCTTGATATCCTTCTAAAAACTGCTTTTTCATTTTTTTGATTATTTTTGTGGGCTTTTTGCCTATAATGGACAGGACAGTGTGTGAAACGGGGAGACAGAGAGAGAGAGTGGTGACTGACACGCAGCAGGGGTTGCAGGCTGGACTTGGACTATATTGCACACTTTTTTAATAGTATTTTTTCGTATTTTTATTCTAATTTCCTTATACATTGTTTTCTGTTTTTTTGCAATAATTGCTTTTAATTTTCATTACATTTTCTCTCGCTGTGTTCATAATATACACCAATACATCAAAGCAAATTTCTCTTATGTGAAAACCTAGTCTTCTGATTCAATTTTTTTTTTAAAGCTTTAGCCAACTTACAATTTATCTTCATAACTCTACTAATATAGACAACGTTTACTTACACTAGGTAATATCAAGGTTCCTACAGCTGAAAGTTCTATGTAAGACTTTATATTTTTATTTCCTACCAGCCATAGGACAGTTAACTATAAAAGAGGATTTTAAAGGAGCAGTATGTATGACATCTAGCGGTGAGGAGTGCGGATTACATCTAACTGAAAATTATCCCATGTGTTAAGTTTAAAATCTCTATTAGAATTCCCTTAGTGTTGAGCCGAATTACTCACAGTGGTCTCTTCCTCTCCAAAATAAACAGACCAGGTGATTAAAACCAGTAATAATACTGAATAAAGCAGTTTCATGTTAAAAATCAGTGTTTTTCTGATGCTGTTTGGCTCATCGTGGAGGAGCTGCTAACTACGGTGACGCAAAAACATTAATGTCCCTGTCTAGAGCCAGTGTTTGGTTTGTCTTTCTTGGCCACTGTATTGTGCTGGAATCTGCGGACAAGGCCTGCTCCTTATGTAGGTATAAACTCATTCTAAGGTAACAAAAATATGATGATTCTTATTTTCAGGTGATTATACACAGAAGAAAACATCCGTATTTTATTAGATTTCACTTCTGCCAATATATTGTGCGTAATCCTACACACTGGACCTTTAATTCATATGTAAATGTACTTTCTAATAATTTATTGAGTCACCTGCAGATCAGGGAGGTAGCATTTCTTCCAGTGGTCCATGAAGACAAAATCTAGCCTTTCCAAACCGTAGTCAGACCGCAGCCGAGGGATCACCTCGTCAGATGGATTCACAATGAGCTCCACCTGTGGAACACACAGCATCGATGTCTCATTGGTATAAAACTCTCCATATTCAATACATGAAACACAGAAAAACAGGGATTTATGTAAAAAATAAAGATGATGCTCTGTAGGCAGGTCATTGGGCCTTTAGCACATGGATATATAGGCTATAATGTTTAAGTTTCTGCTCTCTCACCGTGTCATCGTCAAACCCTGCCAGACGGATGATTTTCTCAGCGATAGCAGCATTTCTTTGGTCCATCTCGATGCTATAGAGCCTGGCACCCAGGGGTAGAGACCGGGCCATCCGCACAGTGCTGTACCCACAGTGGGCGCCCAGCTCCAGCACCGTCAGAGGGCTCTGCTCCATCAGCAGACGATCCAGGATTTTCCCTTCGCACGAAACACATCATGTAAAATCATGCCTGTCACCAGATAAATTTCTGTGTAAGGTCAATATCCTCCTCACCTTTCTTAGGCCCAATGTTGCTGATGAACTCCACCTTGCTGCACCAGACATCGAAGGCGTCCAGGATGCTGTCGGGGTCTCCAGGGGTGGCATGAGTGAGGACGTACTGGTAGGCACGCTCCTCGCGGCTCAGGCCAGTAACACAGTCGTTCCATATCCTGACCAGGACCGCCCGATAGAACAGCACGAAGTAGAAGCGGCACCTGATGATGATAGTCAGCAGGAGGGGAAGGAAGGCCAGAGCAATAGCAGGAGACACCATCCTAGCTCATCTAAAGAAACGCACAAGTAGATTCATCAGACACTCGTACCTAGTTATGTTCAGTGTTGTTTATGTCAACATAATAGATGTATTTATTCTTTGTTTGAATGAGGTGGTAAGGTGGTGATGTCTCCCTGCTCTCTGTACATCAATGGACTAGAATTGCATTGGCCTACTGTATTTGAAATCAAACAGTGCTGCCCTGTAGTGTCAAAAAGAAGCTATCACACTGCCCTTTCGACCTCTGGTATAGATGTTCAGGTGCAGTAAGATCCTTAATAGTTTAAAGGAAGTTAGTAGCAGTTTAATTCAACCATGTAAGTAGAAAATAACCCAAATAATCATACAGTAGTAGACAGACGTTAAAAAAAAACACAGGACACTAAAGGAAGCATGAAAACTGAAAACAGCACATAATGATTTGATTTGCGTGTCCAAAAAGGAGTGGGAGGAAGTACAAACTATAAACAAACTTTGCTTTATCTGTCCATCAGTGCTGCAAGATCTTTCAGCCATTTCCTCCTGATGCTTGCTGACGCCTGAAGTTTTGTAACTGTCAGGCACATACCAGCGGTAGTATTCTGCAGTGAAGGTGCAAAAAACTGAAGTGATAGTCCTTTGCAGTAACATCATATGTAATTTCAGTACATTTTTAGAGGCAAATTGATTGTTACCACATGTAGTCTTCATGGGCATGGCCTTGAGACTCCACAAATCTCTTTGTGGTATCAAGACTCTGCAGCTAGTCTGGTGCTTTTGTAGTGTTCCATGTGTTAAATGATCAAAGCCATTAATTAATTACGACAAAACTACTGAACGATCACTCACAACTGACAAAAGATCTTTACTTAATGCAAATAAAGCTGGAAAAGTGTACATCATTCTAAGGTACATTTTGGGAATACCAAAAAGGGCCATTATTATGAGACCATTTTAATACAGTCTGATATTATTATTTTAATAATCTCTCCCTGAAACAACAAATTTCAAAGTGATTAAACACATCTGACACAGACTGTCCTAGTTTTGAGTTATGCAAGATCTCCACAGGAACCATCTTTCATGCTTCGCTCTTGCGGTAGATGTGAGAGAAAGTGCTGTGCCTCTCTAGATGTTTCTACTGCCTCAGGTAACCGCAGGCTTTCTGCACCACACAAGAGATAGTATAACAAAGTATGTGAATCAAAATAAAGTCTCACTTACTGTCCCATGAAAAACAGACAAACTCACCTGGTGACTTAAAAGTTTGCCGAAAGCGCCGTTGATAAAGATGAAAGTGGAGCTTCAGCCACAGAAACACAGAGAGGTGTGTGTGTGTGTGTCTCAGAGAAGGTAAGAGACCTGGAGATGTGAATAATTCATGTATCACGTGCATGACAGTATCTGTCCTGTAATTATTTCCAAAGAACAGATGTTGACAGTAACGTCACTAACTGTGTGACTGCTAAACACCAGCCTTTGTCATTTCTGATCAGACACACACATTACCTCTTGCTCAGATATTTAGAATAGGTGCAGAGACAGTAAGACAGTGAGACAGAGAGAGGCAGCGTGAGACATTTGATATATCGAGTTAACAGCAACAGGTGTGTGTCTGTGTGGAATCAAATTTCTTTACTGAGTCATGATGGAAAGGTCAAGAAAGAAACAAACACACCTAAAAACCTAATTCATGGAATATAATCTGATGTACCTCAACATGATATACATTTTTATTAGTTTGTTTAAATAAAAAAATCTATTAATTGTGTAAAAAACCTACATGAGAGTCACATTAGGTACAAATAATTGTAATAAATGAAAAAAAAAATAGAGACCAAACGAAGATCTTAATGATTTATTGTTCACACCACGTTTCCTTTCTTTTCAGTGCTTCTCTTTTGATGTGACTCGACACTGTAGCTGCCTGACGTGATTTCACTCATAAAACTCATGCCATGTGTAGAAGTAACTATTATAACAATGCCTTAGGCCCTGGCACACCAAGCCGACAATCAGCTGTCAATGCCAGGCTGTCGGTGAGCATCTGTCGCCCAAGATTTTTGCGGTTTGTTCAGCACCGTTGGCACTTGTCGGCTGATTCAGCACATTGGATTGGTGGAGCCAATTGATGAGAGAAATCCCTCTGGCAAGTAAGCTCAAAGGACGAGAAGAGAAATGGAAGTCAAAAGGGTGTGAGATCAAAACAAAGTTGTTAGGTAAGATTATTGTTAACCATTGAGCTCTTTGGCGGAAACAGTTCGTAATTGTCTCATTGTTCATGGTAAACATCTTTTGCTTTTTAAACACCAGGTTGTGTTGTTAATGTGCTAACTGGCTAACTAGCATCTTGAATCCTCTTCGTTCTCTGGTTTCCCTTTTTAATGAGGAATATAGACTACCACAGCCTGTTGGTATGGAGAGTTATTTCCGCTCATGCAGGCACAACATATGTTATAGCTGACAGTTGGCTGTAGTCTATGCGTTGTATTCAAGTGCAACTCTTTGGCCGAGACACAGCTGAAGTGAGACAATGCAACAGTCGGCCTTTGTTGTCACTAGGTCTCTGACGTCGGTTTGCTGTGTCTGGACCTTTACCATCGCTGCCTGCGTTACATTTCCAGAATTATGGAGTCATTGGTAATAACAATGAGCTATGTAAACATCAGAGGCCTGTACTATGAAGCAAAATTGACAGACAGTTGCTATTTACACTCTGATTCTATCACTGCAGCCCCCTCCCCAATGAACACGCTTGTGGCTAAATATGAAAACCCAGAGTTGACTGAACTAGTTGATAACCAGCTTTGTAGTGCCAGTTATCCAGACGGCCAATGTTAGGGTCCGTCAAGTCAGATAATGAAAAGATATTCTAGGTAGGTTGAACTGGTTTCATAGTACAGGCCTCCGCTCTCTGTCTGATAATCACTAACTTAACAAAAGAAAACAATAATAATTTGTGAGTTTAGTAAAATGATGCTCTATTTTTACATCAATTGTGAGTAATGGTAAAGTAATCATGGTACAATGATGCATTTGGTAACAAGTCAATACACTGCTTAACTTGATGGGACACAAAGTATTATGTACTTAGCAAGGGAGAGTTGATTGGTTAGTGAGTGTTGGGGATTTAGCACCTTTTTCAGAGTTAATCAGGAGCAGTTCATCAAGAAAGTGGCCAGTATGCAGATTTACAGATCTCTACAAACTCATCTGGCTCATTAACATAGTATCTAACAAATCTGTGCTCATGTGATTCACACAAAGCAGTGTCCATGGACAAGGACCGCAATGGTTGATGACTCCTAGTCTACAGCTCTGGACAGGACTGTTTAAGGAGCACTCTGATGAACTTCTTCAGCTCTTTGTCCTCTCTGGTCCACCTCACCAGTCGAGTCAGCACCAGTCGTCCCTCTTCGGCCTGAGCCAGGGCCAGGTACCATGCACTCTGGGCCCCTTTCCCCACCTTTCCTCCTTCTTTTGCTTCTCTCTTGTCCATCTGTTCCTCCTCTAACCACCTCCTGTCTTCGTTGGTCTCTGCAGAGTCCAAGCCGGGACAAGTACAGGTGCCTCCTTCTTGCAGCCACAAAGCACTGTGGGCCATTGCGCCTCCTATTCCTTCTGCCCTCTCTGCACTTCCCCCTGCCCACCTCAGAATGCGGCTGCGGGCCGTAGGCACCAGCTGACGGTCCCCTCCCACCATCGACACACTGCCCAGACGCATTTTTAATGCTGCGACAGAGACAGAGAGAGAGAAAACTATTTAACAGGTGCCATTTCAGACACATTGTAAAACAATCTCTATCTCTATGAATAGATCAGTTCTGTTGGCTGCTTTTTTAAACTGGAGTTATAATACAGAGGGTTATCCTGTGTTGTGCTCCATGTTCAAAAGAAAAAAAAAGAATGGATTTTGTAGCTAACTTAATCTACATCAGTTTGTTCTCACCGTATGGACTGTGGCAGAAGTTTTCCTGGATGTCATTTTCTCCTTCAGCTGCCAAACTACAGGCGTCACAGATAATACTCCCTGGGGGTAGAAAGGAGAGGGGATTAGATGACTGCGAGTGTCTCAATAAAGGTAGTGAGATGTAGCACCAGGCCAGCTCAGACCAGGGTCCGACAACAACACAGGTGTGCTCCATTGACTCTAATGCAATCGTTTAAGATTTCCTTGATTTTCAGGCTGGTTTTGTGGATTTGGAGCTAAATGTTGTGTCTGGGGCACGTCGTGTATTAATGATACTCGTTACCTGGAGAGGTTGGAAAAAGATATACATTTCTTCCCTGTTCCAAAACCAAAATTAGTCCCTGAAAAGTGTAGGGTTAGCTAGCTAGCTACTGAAGATATAGCCTACTGAATGTATACACATGCTGCTTTTGTTTTTCAGTGATTATAACAGTGAAAAAAAAGGCCAATCCTGCTGTACAGGAACCAGTGAAGGGAAGGAGGGAAACTTTGCTGATATTGAACCAGCTGTGTGTCATCGCAGTGTGCGCAGATGAATGTTGTTTGACTTCCCCTGGAGATCCCTGCCTGTCCAGCGGCGGAGGTCCGGGTGCTGGCAGCAGCACAGGGGCAAAGCCAAACACCGTTCATCTGCACACACTGCGATGCCACACAGCTGTTTCAATATCAGCAAAGTTTCCCTTTATATTCACTGTCTTGTGTGGCGATCAGCAGTGATGTGGTGGTTCACTTTTACACTGTGATCTGTAGCCTATAGTTCGGCTTTAGCTTCTAACTATCTTTGTCTTTTTAACCTGTTGTTGCTGCTGAGTCAGTTTGACATCCTGGATATATCCTTCAAACACAGACTGTAGACCCCTCTGTCTGCTTCTCTCTGGAATCACTGTTTC